TATCCATTTTCCCAATGAAGGAAACATTAGAAAGTAAAGCATGGGAAATAACGTCATGACTATAGACATTTTTACTTTGAATACACTGGAGCTTGTTAATGAGGCTTCTCGAAGTAAGCTAATTTAATACAGATAGTTTTGCTTTTTTGCTACCATTATTTCCTTCAATTCCTTTTTAATATAACCTTTCGTTCCATTTATAATATCTGACCTAAATTGGGACCCGCAATTATGCCAAAAATAGGCTTCAAAATATCTCCTTCTATCATATTGCTGTATACAGCAAAGATATTTTGGGAAAATATTATATTTCTCAGCTTAAACAGATGCTTTCCTTACAAACTTCCTCTATTGCAATGCATAATTTTTTGGAAAAAAATCTAACTTATCGAGCTAAATGAAAAGTATGGATTTATTATTCATATTAGCTATGTTATAATCTGAAACTGTGGCACAATGACAATAGACTCTTTTACGAAGAGACTACCATAAGAAACAGCTTCAAACAGAAAAATGGTATTTTAAAAATGTCTTTCAGTTTGGACAGATAAATTAAGAAAATTCTGTTATGTATCTAACAGTATAGTGAAAGTTTGGAACAAAAGTGATTTAATAAGCAAGAAATTGGTTCTTTGGCAAATAAACAAGAATTAGATAAAAGAAAGGCTGTTGAATTAAATAATACTCGGCTCATTAGTCGGAATCACAAGAGTTGCATTGTAGACTTGACTAATTATGGAGCAATACCTTTGGAATTTCTTTAAACGAAATAGGGTTAATACATCTGATATACTAAATTACAATCCAAAGTAAGCATTAAAAGCCTATCTATTAAAAATTTCTGTAGCAGATAAAATAGATAGCGCAAACTAATATACTTCTATTAATTTTGAGCCTGTACACACACCTGAAAAATGATATCCTCTAGAATATTTTAATAGCCTTAACAGGGATTAGTGATTCAACTTTTTTGTCTGAACACCAATTCGATTTCGTTAAAAATGGTGAAATGGCATCTCGTGTTACATTCGTTTGGTTGTCAGAATTGGTTTATTATATTCACTTAGTCGTGCCACACAGTATAAGCTGTTACCGTCTCTTGTTTTATTCAAATTGGCTTGCTTATTATTAGTTTTTAGAGCATAACGTATTTTTTTGATGTTAAGCCTTTCTTAACTCGGAAATAAGTGAACACGAATTTTCGTCTGTTAATTATTTGGCTTTCCTTGAAAAATAAGGTATCATGGACATTGCGAAGGAACGTTTTATTATTCGTGGAGAGCTGATTGACCCCGACGAACGCCAGCCGCGTGTTTATTATGGCACTGAGTTCATCTATCATCGCGGGGTACGTTCAACACATCCCGGTACAGATATTGTGACAGCTTTGGGCCCAGTGAGTGGAGAGATCGCAATTGAAGTAAGCGTATAGGGGAAAAACTTTATTTAATAAATTTTGTGTGAATGGTTGAATGGCTTGACATTGAATGAAACTGAAAAGAGATTTCCTTAAAAATATGATAGTCTTTTTAAGTTTAATATATTTCGTGCACGGTCATCTCTGCCTATTGAATCCGTGCTGATTTTTATTATATCCTTCTTAGCTCGAAACCTAAAAGAAGACACGAGCCTAAGTATATTCCATTTATTGAAGAAGTTTGCTGCGGGCCTCATCTATGTTTTGCCTGCCTTGCCTACTTAATGATATCTCTTTGTCCACAACAGCTCGTTGAAGGGCATCGTTTGTATGTTGAAAAAAACATGACCTTCTTGTCTGAAAATGCTTATACTGCAAATTTAGTTTTGTTCATTTTTATTCACCAAATAAATTTCGCTAAATTTGAAATATATACTTAACAACTCAAAATGTAACAATATCAATTCTCTTTCCATATTTTCAGGCTCTGAGACTGCCCGGATTAAATGAAGTGGAAGAACCAATTGTTGTACATATCAGCTACCTGAATCCTATCACTTGGTGATTTCATAAGAATTCATATCCCTATGACGCACTTTTATCAAGGCACCTTGAACTCCCTTAAAATTGTTGAGTTACAAATATATCACTCTTGTTTCTATGCTGCAGAAGCTGATTTTGGAATACTGACATTTCAGAAATGAATGGTTTTTCACTCTCCGAATTGCTATCATTCATCTATGCAAAACAATCTATCTATATAATATAACCATCATGCTAAACGGGAAAGTTGTAATTTTCCTTTCTAATAGACGTATTTTGATTCATTTTAGATTCTTTTTATAATTACTGCCCTTGTAGTTTTCCTTTTATAATTACCTTTCTCAATTGATTTTTCTCAAAAAAGTGACATCTATGCCATACTCAAGGCTTTTAGGCCAGTGTCTCCTCAAGAACATAGCTTTTCAGAAGGTGCCAATATAGGCCAAAGCAAGTCCTAATAATAAATACATTGTTTTTCCCTTCCCCAAAAGGGATTTATCGACATTGCTCAAAAAGAAAGATAAGTAGTCAAGTTGATGAGTCTATTGGAATAGCTATTTTTCCCTTGTCTAAACTTGGCTTGAGCTTAGGAGACTCTTTAGGCCATGCTCATACGATCCCTCATCGTGTACTTTCAAAGAATTAAGTGGAACCGCGCAATTC